GTGTGTCATCCCATTGTGACAATTATTGTACACCAAAAGTCACAAAATGTCATCGCGCTAGACATGATTTCACTCGACCATAAGGTAATTTCGATCTTATTTCAAAATTTATCTTCATAATTAATAATTAAATAATAATTATTCAATCTGAATATACTTTTTGTTTAAAAACACATTCACATTATTTAGTAGAATTATGTATTTATTATACTAATATTTCCTCATTATTCAATAATTTATATGCACTTCTAATAGACTGAACCAAACTTTTGTTATACTTTAGTTATAATATCGAACAAACTATTTTGCCGTTATTTTGTGGAATAAACCTTCAACAACTTATTGTAACTAAACGTAATTGATTTTTCAAAATTAAATTTGAATGATTTTTCAAATTTATTGTAACCTCCAACAACACAGAGTAAAAGCTTGGTAAATGTGTACAAAATGTAGTTACCATATATGTACGACCTCATGAATATGGGTTTTCATTAATTTGAAGTCCTTTTTTTTCCTAAATCAGAGGTGTCCGACCTAAGTAATTCATTTGTACAAAAAATATGAACATCAAAGCTTTTGGTAAAACCGCCCTATGAAAACAACTCATTTGTCTGTGGAGATAGTTTAGCATTCGAATACTGACCAGTAGGCCTCATAGAATTTATTTAATTTGTTTAAATAAATTAGTTTAGTCTACTTGATTTAGGGGCCATGTACTTATGACTTAATGAATTTAATAAGAAAGACGATTTAATCGTTCAGTTATTGAGTCGTGTTTCCTTACAACTTAACTGAAAACACGACTTATTCAGTTTATTCGGTCAAAAAACTGACTTAATCATTAGGTTGTGAAAATGCACATTAAAACACCTATTCATTCAGTTTTTTATACCTAATATATATGGAGCAGATATATGTTAATCAATGACATTATTCATTGTCGATGTAACTTAATAATAATATTAAATTGATTAATTTACTCTATTTAGATGATTTATTCAGCACACAAAATAAACCAACTTAATATACAGATATCACTTAATCCTTGCAGGACTTAATAGGAAAAAGTAAACAACTCCTTATATTTTATAAAAATAAGATTGGTTAAAATGTAGAGTTATAAAAATATTTCAGTTTATAAGCTCGAATACTTCTAACAATAAGAATTCATGCATCCATGCATATCCTAACTTTAAATATATGATTAACTTTATTTAGAAGCCATGCATTCATATCATTAGTTTTAATAAATGTTCAATTTAACTCAATTTAATTAGAAGCCAAGCATCTGTATCATTAATTTGAATATGGACTGCAGTGATTTTGAATTTATACTTCAAAAGTTATGTTTTTAATACACAACATTTAATTTAGATTGTATTATGCTATCATATCAACTTTTTTAGACACGACATTTTAATAATTAACCAAAGATTCAAAATATTGAAAACAACTCAATTACAGGTTTTTTTCTAGAGATCATGTATGCACCGGTTGATAATAATACGTACCAACTCTACTTTCCATTTCATTAGCACCATGTTTGATCGAATACACATTCGTTTGTAGAAACCATGATTTTGAGATTATCTTGGTTCACTGTGGTTAAACGAGAATGAGAATCAAGGTTCATGCAGAATCATCATCTCTTTCTCTCGAATCAGGAAGCATGGACCCAGAAAACATTTATTCGACAATAAAAAAGGTTCTCAGCATCACCAATCTCAAATGAGAGAGTTGCAACATTTTATAATACATTTTTCCTTTTTTTTTACAAATTACGAAGGTCTTAAAGTTGCCTTCTTCTAACAAACGTACGCATTACGTACAATCGAAATAGAACATAATTTTAAACAAGTTATTTTACTACTCTAGATATACCCGTGCATCGCATGGGTAATTCGTCTAGTAAATAATTAGAGACAAAGAGGCATAATACTCTAGGAATAACACATATAGCTAAAAGGCCTATAGCTATTACTAATGATAGATAATCTTACGCCAGGTTAAATATGATTGCTAGTGTAAATCAGTGCGATGTAAAACCTGGACAATGAATTCCAAATTCTATAGAAAAATAGAGAAAAATGGAGGTATGATGTATATAATTTCATTTGGGAGTAAAAGAGTGATCCCGATTAGGACTATGACTCTCAATATTTCAGGAATTGCAGTTGACTCTGGTGCAGATAGCAGAAAATATTTTTCAATTCTGCAAATTACAGTTGAGAAAACTTACTTCATTTTTATGTCCAACAAACCATCACTTCTTGATAAAAAAACATCCAAACATTTAAAAGAGAAACCATTGTAAAATGTAACTTACAGTTTATGTAGCAGCCTCTTCATAAAAAACTATATATTGACGTTCTATGTTCTTTCACACATGAAGTAATACATAATTGATGAGGGTATGCCACTACCATTTGGAAGGGTAGATTCATGAAACCAATATAAATTTTTATATATACATTTTTTAATCAGAAAATTATAGGAAACTAATTAGAAGAAATAAATAACATACCAATTTCGTACGAATTCTAGAATAAAACACCCAATTAGTGGTGTGGTTATCCTCAAAAAAAGTGAAGTTACCTTTGTTACTAGCTTACTAGTCCTAAATTGATGACATGCATGTATTTAAACTATGTACATGTGAGAATATTATTAAAATGTATAGAAATGCTTTTTCATTTTACGCACCTGGTAGAGTTCTATAACTTCACCAGCATTCACGGATAGTTTCCAGGAATCTCTATCAGTTTGTCCCACTCAACTGCAGTGTTAAAATCTTAAGAATCAACTAGTGATTGATAGCAAAAATTGTGATTTTCCTCACAACCCAAAATAATTGAGACATGACAGTGTCCTGCACTTTATTATAGTGTCAAATATTATCAATTGACTGGAAATAGTCTGAAATGTAAACATATAGCTGATTACATTAGGCATCAAGCAAGAATATTTAAGTGTATCAGAAATATAAATATTTTAGTGAGATTACATTATATATGTAAGAAATAATGTGTTCCCTTAAAAAATAAACACTGTAGCATTTATTTTAGTACCAGATGTTATACTATTAAATTAATTTATTAATTTAAAATAAATATATTAAATTCAATTTTTTAGAACCCAAAAGTTTTAGAACTCGTTTGATAATACCAAAATCAGCTTAATCGGCTGATTATGCTGAAACTTATGATATTTTAGCTGAAGCGACTGGATTAGCTAATTTCGTTGATTTATGTAAAATTTATATTTAAAATATATTTTACTAATTGCTACAATGGTCATCTACAATAACTTCAGCCAATACAGTCAGAAAAGTAACTTGAACCTTACTTTTTCTTATTATTACAAAATTGAACGTGCGAAATCAAAAGTTACGTGTTTGGTGAAAAAATTGGCTGATAATTTTGATAATCCGAAAACATGGTCACCAAAGAGGTTCTTATTTTATTTATACAAGGGTACAAATTAAATAGCAAATGTACTTTTTATTTAATTAAATTTTATTAGATGAATAAGGAAAATTTTGTGTGATCAATATACACCGTAAATTACAATTTACAGTGTAGACACTTCCTCGGTTAGATAGTTAGATTACTTAGATAGTTTGATTGTATAACTCTGGGTCAAAAAATATCTCAACTATATCATGTCTGAAGGATTTATTCAATTCTATTATAGGAATTAGTTCAAATAGGACTAAAACTATGGCAAAACCCTAAAATAGGACTTGCTATGTTTTTATTCCAAAATAGGACCATATGAGTCCTATTGGAAACATACCTATTTTTGCATTCCATTCTTATCCTTCCATTAAATATGAATTAAAAATAGTCAAAAGCCATAATTAAATGTTTAATACATAATAAATTCGAAAAAAAATCAAAAATTTGTAGAAATATAATTAAAAAATTTATAAAATTTTTATAAAATAAAAAATTCAAAAACTTATTTTTTAAAATAATTTTATTTTTAAAAAAATTAATAAAAAATAGTAAAACTCCGTAAAAAAAATTTAAAAAAATATGGATGCCTTTCCCACTGCATGTACTACCTCCCAGCACCACCAACTCCGGTCGATGAAAAAATGCCATTTTCCCAGAAAAATGCCATTTTTTTTCTGAAAATGCCAAAAAAGTGGCATATTTCTCTTTTCGAATGCCAACATTTTCATTTTTTTCTGCCATAAATATGGCATTCGTAATGAACTTGGCATTTTTCCCCTGGTGACTGGAGGTGGTGGTGCTGAGGCGGCAGAGGCAGCGGTGATTTTTTTTTTGAGTTTTTAGTTTTTTTTATTTTTTTTTATTTTTTTTAATTTTTTGAAAAAAAAAATTAATTAAATTTTTAATATCGAAATGTTTTTCTTAATTTTTTAGTATTTTTTACGAATTTTTATTATTTTTTATTATTTTATTAGGAATTAAAACATTTTAATAGCTATAAGGGTATAATTGTCCAAGGTACACATAATTAGTCCTATGCAAACATAGTTCATTTTTTGGTCCTATTTGTGAAAAGTGAATGACTTTTAATCCTATTTTGATAATTAACTCATTCTATTAAAAATATACATTTTTGAAATTGTGAATGAATCTTAGTCTCTTAGATAGTTAGTTCTAATTATGTAAAGTACTCCGTATATACAGAATGAATAACTATGTTTTTTTTTATTAAAGAAGGATTTATTCAATTCTATTGAAAATATACGAAGTACATTTTTTGAAATTGTGAATGAATCTCATGGAGTATTATTTTAAGAAAAAATTAATTATGATTCTTTTTATACATTTTATATATTCCCTCGTTATTTAAAAGTTCCCTACACTTTATTTTTGGGACTTTATTTAAAAGTTTCCTGCACTTTCATTTTTTTGTAAGTTTAGTCTTTATAAAATACTTAACTATTTTTATTTTATCTACTTTTTATCTTCTATTTCGTGCTTTTAATCACTCTCCTATTTTTTCTATTCGCTGCCGTTGTGAAGGAGTATATTTTACTTCCCGTTATGAAGTAAAATGAGGGAGAATTTTGTGAAGTCGGCCTTCCCGTTAACAGTTACTCGGACTCTCGCGGGCCTTTTGTCCCGCGCGGGACGTATTCATCCTAGGCTCATAGCCTCTGCTCCGGTCTGATCTTCCGTAATGATTAACTTTAGATTTCTCGTGGAATGTGCAAAACCAAAATCACCGTCTCAATGGATTTATTTCAAGATTGAATTTACGTTAGTGTTAATCTTTAAAATTTTCTTGCTTCAAATGTAGTTTAGTTTGCTAAACAACTGATACTTGATTATACCTTCATCGAGACTTTATGAGATTTCTAACTCTTTTGGCACATTTTTCAGATTCATGATTTTGGGTTTTTCCGCTACGATCCTGGCTCTATACAATTCCTGAGCTATGAAGAAATTCCCCTTGCTCCTGAGGCTGCTTTTGTAGGACTACACATTAGGGTTGTTGGAAATGATAACAGAGACAAGGTATATAGTTTATACTTATGTGGACTTGAAATTGCTTATCAAAAGAGACGTTTTATATTTAAACTAGCTAGTTATATGGTGGCCAGTAGGCTCCTCTTGCCCTCAACTTTACCTATTTTATACGGAGTACGTGTTTTTGATGGAAGAAACTGAGATGCCATGGAAGCATGGAACACACAGAACAAGGAGCTGTTTAGCTTTTCCTGTAATCTGTATCTTGGTTATGGACATTATGTAACATTTATGCTTATTTTTAGGCACGTTTTAGGACAGGTGATGGCCAAAATCAGAATATAGATCTTTACTGTGGTTCTTATTTTGATAATGAAGTAATGGATTCTATACTGTATGCAGTTTCTTTATTTCCCAATAATCTGTCTCTTCGTTATGCATAGGTCTCCATTGCGAGTGGCATAATAGGTCGTTTGGATAGGGAGGCTCCACAGTATAACAAGTGCGTTTCTCTATTGAAACTATACAACTTCTTTGCTTTTAATATGGAAGATGAGGATAAGTACCTATTCATTTCATTGAGGACATTAAAAGATTTTTTTATTGCAACCATTTGCTGTGCCTTGTTTTATCGATTAGATTAGATTGCGCTTTTCTGCAGGTTATTTATCAAAGAACTGCTTTTTGTTAAAAGTTATTTTGATTAATTGTGTGCTCAAAACATTCTCTATTCTGTTTTATACCATAATAGTCAATGGGTGGCTTTCACATCCCATTTCCACCTTAAAATGTAAGCATTTTTAAAATGTTTAGTTTTGTTGGTGCAGGGAGGGCTACAATGACTTCAATACATTTTATATCCAAGTAAGCAATTATGATTTGGATCATTTTCTTCTGCTAACTTGCATTAGGTCCAAGTTAGCGTATCAGTGCTGTTACCATTAGAGATAGTGATCTTATCACCTTAAAGCCTTTTTCTTTATGTACAATCAAAGGTTGCATCTGGGACTAGAGGTGGCTCAAGTGGCTCTCCAGTAATTAACAGGCAAGGCAAAGCTGTTGCTTTAAATGCTGGGTCCAAATCAATCGGGACTAGAGGTGGCTCCAGTGTCTCTTCTTTTCTTCTGCCTTTAGAAAGAGTGAGTACATATTCTCTCCCTCTTGTCAGTGTTTCCCCTTTTCAAGCAAGGAAGACATTTTCAGTAACCAGGTTTGCCTTTTCTATTTTTATGAGCTAAACATTATACTCTGTATTAGTATACTATACAGAAAATAGCTTATTTTCCGAGATATCGTTTTCCACTAAAAATTTCCATCATTTGCAATGGAGCCAAAGATTCATTTTTTTGGCTTGAGATTATGATGGAATAAAGCAATATGGCTCACTAAACTGTCTGCGCTTCTTTGTTATGGAGCATCAGCCAGTGAATGCAATTTTGGACACGATTTTCACTATGGGTCATCCGGAAACAGTCTCTCTGTGTTTTAGTACTTTAGTACAGGGGTAAGACTGCGTACATCCGACCCCCCCTTACCCCACCGTAGGTGGGAACCTTTGCGGCATTGGGGTAAATGGAAATGAAAATGATCGTTTTCCACTAAAAATATTTTTGCAGATCAACTTACTTCTGGCAAAAACAACAGAGCCTAAGATATCAAGTTCCTTTCAGGTTGTGAGGGCTTTGAAGTTCCTACAAGAAGGAAGAGTGAATTTCGCAAACTCGTGGGAAGCTATCTCCATTCCCCGTGGTACACTTCAGGTTTGATCTTTTCTCTGACTCTCCCTACTATTTCTACACTGTTCACTATTGTGTGAAAAGGAACAAATAAAGTGAATGGATGGGAGTATTTACGTTAGCAAAATGATATTTAGATGGTGGGTTCTTTTTCTGAAAGGAATCATTATGGATTTGAGATGGAGCCTTCACTAGGTCTTGTCAATTTTTGTTCAGTTAGGTCTTGTCATTTGTTTGTTCAGGCAACTTTTTTGCATAAAGGATTTGATGAGATCCGTAAGCTTGGTCTTCAAAGCGAAACAGAGCAGGTATATTTGTATCACATTGATGATCTAATTTCCTTATATTTACAAATGGTAAAATAATCATAGATTCCTTCTTTTTGGCTAAGTTTGTGCGTAACTCATCCCCAATGGATGAAACTGGAATGCTTGTTGTTGAGTCTGTGGTAAGTATACCTTCCCTGGTGCTTATTGCCTAAACAAATATGGTTTCTACACAACAACATTTATTATAGATCTGGTACAGGTGCCAGGTGGTCCAGCTGATGACTATTTAGAGCCAGGTGATATTCTTTTTCATATAAATGGGGAGGTTAGTCCTCTATGTCTCTATGCACGAATCATGAATATATGAATAATTGAGTAGCAATTGAATACAATAGATTTCTCAGCATTAACCTCCCCAAAATCAACTAAAATGTATCTGGAATTGCCCATTTGAAGAAGCTTTTTGAATCAATCATTTTCTTCGTAGTAGCTCCTTAAGAAAATGCAAGTGTACTGCTTGCTTGGTGGAATACACCTTCCTTTCATCTAGCTCTTTCCTCATTAGTTTTGTACTTCATGGCTAAACAGCCTTGCCATTTCCTATATATCACTCATATTTTGTTGAACCAATGCCCCCTGCAACCATCAGAGAATCAATCAACCACCATTAGTATTGGATATTGCCATTCGACTGCCATTGAGGTCGAAAGGGGGCGGGGTGCATTTTCCAAAGCAGGTGCATTCTACTGCTATTTAATGCTTCAAGATCTTTCTTGAAAAGTTGAATTTTAGCTTCGCACTTACTTTTTTCATCAGTCTCAAAATTCTCTTCCCATTTCTTTTAAGAAAAGAATTGTATGGTTGATATTTTTTATTTCCTTCGTAAATAAATCTCAAGTTCTCAACCACCAATCTCATTTCTTAATGAGCATGAAAAATACTAATGAGAAACTAACTGGGGGACATAGTGAGTATTGTATGAGGTCATTTGGGGTATTCACATATCACCCTAAATTGATGGTTAATATTGTGCTGACTGTTAAGAGATTTACTGTAGGTGATTACACGGTTCCTCAAACTGGAGATGATACTTGATGACAATGTCGGACAGCAAATTGAACTTCAAATTGAAAGGGGTGGTATTTCAATGACCATTCAGTTGCTGGTGAGATCACTGTTGCTAATGTTGGATCAGTGAACCTCAGTGGTATTTCAAAACCTGCTAATCTAATCTGGGGATACAGTACCCTTGAATCTCATTGTCAGTTTTTCACTGAAGTTTTTGCCTATTATTTAACAAATATGAGGTTTTGAAATTATTTTAAATTAGCATCACTTTTATGCCAGTTGATTTCAAATTCACTGGCTAATAATATCTAACTGCATTACATGTTTACTTACATTAAATGTAAGTTTAAGAGGTTTTCTTTACTGTGTTATTAACATGTTCTTATAGAGTTGACTTAGTCTCTAAATTGATTTTAGGTTCAGGATTTGCACTCAATAACGCCTGATTACTTCTTGGAAGTCAGTGGTGCAGTGATTCACCCTCTATCTTATCAGCAGGTCTGTAATAGTTACTCGTATTAATTATCTCTTAAAAAAATACATGGCATTTTATTTATTTTCAATAATCATCTTGGAACCAGTTTCATGAAATGTACACATCGATGCTGTCTTAATAGTCTGTTTCTTGTTGTCTTTTGACTCAGGCAAGGAATTTCCATTTTCAATGTGGCCTTGTTTATGTTGCAAAACCAGGGTTAGTACTCTACTCCTATAGATATATACGATTTGGTTTTGATTTAATTTATTTGTTTATTTTTAAATTATTTATTTATGTATTTATTAGTTAATTTATTTATGTTTTTATTTGTTCATTCATTCATTAATTTATTTATTTGTTTTATGATTACTCTGCTCCTTGATTCTGAAAAAAATGTCTGTTTTTCACAAAATCATTATGTGGTCTCTCAATCTAATCTTTGGTGACATAAAATGTTTTTTAAAAGTAACCGCAGATACTTGAACTGCAGATACATGCTATTTAGAGCAGGGGTTCCTCGCCATTCCATCATTAAGAAATTTGCAGGTGAAGATATATTAAGACTCGAGGATTTGATTTCTGTTTTATACAAGTTGTCTAGCGGTGCAAGAGTGCCACTAGAGTACATAAACTACACAAATCGCCACCAAAGAAAGGTATTGGGACCGTCATATGAATCCTATTGATTTTTTTCAATTCATTATTTTGCTCTCTTTCATATGAAAAGCCTTTTTCTACTTGTTTTCAAATTGATGCCAGTATCCTTTCGTAGTGTCAGTGTACAGTAACTGGTCTTGTTTCAGCTTGCCATAACCAAACTGCATAAAGTAGAACAATTTCACAATTGGAAATAAGTCGAGGAATGTATCTTCCCAACTATTTTGTGAAACACAGTGTTGGTCTTTGTTTTTCCTTCACATGTATCCTATTTTGATTTTAAGATTATGAGTACTTGATAGAACTAATATAAATTAAAATTAAAATCACTCTCTTGTAATATTTTTTTACCAAAGATATTCTTAATCTCTTAATGTCTTCCCTCAAAGTATTCATTTACTCCCTCCGTTCCTATTAAAACTTCCAACTTTCCTTTTTCGTCCGTTCCAATTAAAACTTCCACTTTCCCTTTTTAGTAAATAATTTGTGGTTCACAACATTTCTTACACATTTCTCTCTCCTCTGCACAACTCTCCACCACACAATACCCACTATCTTAAATTGTGTGTCAAATCTATTTGGAAGATAAAATAGGAAGGAGGGAGTACAAGTAAATGATGACAGAAAACAATCTACTATAATAACTAAAACTCCTTGACCAAATGGATGGATTGCAAAAGTCTCATCTGTTTATCTATTGTTTAGTGGGTATTGCATGAGTTATCTTATGAATGTCTTTAAACGCAGTTTGTTTTAGTCACACTTGACCGCCATGAGTGGTATGCCCCACCTCAGATGTACACCCGCGATGACAGTTCTGGCTTATGGATGGCTAAGCCAGTTTTATCCCCAGGCTTGCTTCACTTGTCTGGCACAGATCCTGACAACCAAGTTCACCGTAGTGTATCTTGTGCTGGTGAAGCTTCAATGAATGAAACAGCTCAACATTTTGACCACAAGTCAATAGATAGTATTACAGATATGTTAACCAGTCATAAGTTAGTTTCAGAGAAAGAGAGCTTGTCTGCTGATGAATTTGTTATATCTGATGGTTCCTCACAAGTTCTTACAAAAGAAAGATTGATCGAGACAACTATAGATGATGTAGTAGTAAGAGATTGTAAGGGCCTCGTGACAAAGTCAGCCAATGCCTCTGTTCCTGAGTGTGTGGTTGAGCCCACTCTTGTGGTGCTTGAGGTAATTATTCTAATACCTGGTATGGTTTGGTGTAAATTTTCTTTCCTGGTTTAGTCTGAGTGTTGCTGATCTAGTCTATTTTATTTTCTGAAGTATAACATCTGGTCTGATCAGAGCTAATACTTTTAGTTTAGTCCGCATCTTCCTAGCATGGTCTGATCTAAATGGTTTTTGTCTAATTAAAATAAAATACGTAGTATGTAGGTTCAGATGTTTAAAAAGGAAGTAATATCTCAAACTTAGGCTTCAGTTGTTTAAAATACTAAGGTACACTCTCTTTTGTGGTCCAATTTGTAGGTTCACGTTCCGTCATCTTGTATGCTGGATGGTGTCCAATCACAGCATTTTTTTGGAACCGGTGTGGTTGTATATCATTCTGAAACCATGGGATTGGTTGTTGTTGATATGAAGACTGTTGCAGTGTCAGTTTCTGATGTCTTCCTGTCTTTTGCTGCTTTTCCTATTGAAATACCTGGGGAGGTACTGTTGTAAACCATTTTTTGAAGATTTTTTAAATTTTATGCTGCTAAGCATTTTTTAATGTTTTTAAGCAGTTTAATTTCCGTAACAGGTAGTCTTCCTCCATCCCACACATAATTTTGCTTTTGTTGCATATGACCCTAAAGCACTCGGAAATATTGGTGCTTCTGCAGTTCATGCTGCTGAACTCCTTGCTGGTAAACTTGTTTCCCAAAGCAGTGAATTGTGCTCAATCCATGCCACAATCACACACACACTAATCTTTGAATTACTTGCCTTTTATTATTCTTGGCTTTTCTTTAAATAGCACTGGTATGAAACTTTTTAATTTTCATTACTTTTAAAAAAGGAAAAGAACTTCCATATCTTTGGGTTTCCTTGGAAGGATTTATCTTCAAGCAGATTTGAAGGTAAAGGAATAACGTTAATACTTTCGAATTATAGTATGAGATGATGTTTTTTACCGCATTACTAAATTGATAAAATTAGCGAATGTCATAATTATGATACTCTTTAAACTTATCTCTTTGATAAATACCTTCAATAAAATATCATGTATCACTTTATTGTGTTCTAGTTTTTCCTTACGACCCTCATTCATCACCTTAATTGCAGTTATGCTGGGCTTGGTATAGTCAATTACTTGTTTAAAACGAGTCATCACTATTGAAGTCCATGCACAATGCACGGTGACAAAGAATTATGCTTGGTGTGCACAATTTTCTTATAATGGGTAAAAAGGAAAATCCGGTGAACAAAGGCATCCCCACAAGGCTAGGGTCCAGGGAAGCCTTCGCCTATCAAATTTTGATAGGAGCTGCTCCCAAGATTTGAATCCGTGACCTCTCGATCACATAACGACACCTTTACACCAAAGCTTTTCTTACAATGGATGAATGTGATAAAATTCCAGAACCATTGTCATCATAATTTGTCCACTTACAACAACATCCAAGCCTTATTTTCAAAAGATTTTGGGGTCGGCTAACATGAATCGATCCATGATATCAGAGCACATAAGATAAAATGAATAAGATAAAGATAAATATAAGATAAAAATAACATAAGAACATAAGAAAGATAAGATATGAAAAGATAAAAGGACATAAGAAAGATAAAAGATAGGAATAACATAAGAACATAGAAAGATAAAGAAGATAAAAGATAAAAGAAAAAAAGAGAGAAAAGAGTGAAAGGAGATCAATTGTCCACCCGAAGAAGCATAGAATATGCGCCCTCTTGCTTTCTCCAAAGCCATACTCTCCTCTAACCCAAGAAGAAGCATATCAGTTCCAATTCCTCTGATCCAAGTCTGTTTGGGTCTTCCTTTGCCTCTCCTCCCTCCTCGTCTAACAGGTGTATCACTCGGTCTTCACGCACATTGCCAAATCTCTGCAATCGATACTCTTGTATCTTATCTTCTTTAAGTGTTACTTCCGCTTTTTGCTATGTCCATACATCTAACGCAATATACATAGACCTAATACATTATAATATTTTGAATGTGACATTGTAATATTGTATCACTGTCCAACACTCTACGCCATACATTAACGCAGACCTAATAGTTGTTCGATAAAATTTATCCTTCAATCTAGTCGGCATACCTCAATCACATAGAAATTCTGATGCACTCTTCTATTTCATCCAACATGCTCTGATTCTATGGGATATATCTCCATTTAAATCACCATCCTTCTGAAATATGGAGCCCAAGTAACGGAACATATCACACAACGTTATCTCCTTTCCATCAAGGCTAATCCCAATGTTACTACTACTTGTACCTCCACCAAACTTGCATTCCATATACTCAGTCTTGCTTCGATTCAGCCTGAAACCCTTGGTCTCCAATGTTTGTCGTCATACTTTCAATTTTGCTTTGACACTCAATTGTGTCTCATCAATCAATACAATATCATCGGCAAACATCATGTACCATGCATATCTCCTTGAATTGACTCTGTAATTGATAATTGATATACCCGGGTTTCAGTCTCACAACAAGATTGATACCGTAAAATCAACATGTATACATTGGATGGTCAACTTATGATTCTAGAGTATTTAATGAGAAATATATTCCTTCCCTATTTGACTGAGTTCGGTGTCAACAGAACCACCTCTTTGTCGCGGAGATACCGTGTCTCTTGTGGGGTTGAACAAATGCCTGCAGACAAAATCAAGGAAATCAATTGTCACTGATGCTTGTGCTTCTTTGACTATTGCAACGTCTGGTTGTCCACATTATTTAGCAACAAACATGGAAGTTATTGAACTTGATACTGGTATGTTGAATTTATCACTGTGTTGACAATTTTAGACATACTGAGTTTTCCAGCTTTTCTGATAGACCACTCAATGCCAGAATCTAGCAAGGAGGCATAATTTGCAGGAAGACAGTCCTACGACTCTTTCTTTGATTAATGATGAATTCCCGATCCTTACAACTGAGAACAAGACCTTCTATTAAATAGTAAATACTAGCCTAGGAAACCCACTACTCCACTACTCCACTACCCACTACTCCACTATGTTAGTTGGAGAAGTGCCAGGAACTAACTACTAGAATTCAGCAAAGACTTCTTGACTCGATCCTAGGACGAATAAAAGAAAATACAATAATTAAAATGCTGACTCAATAAAACTAACTGAAAATCAATCTCTCTTCCTCCTGACATACGTAACCCAAGGCTTACTCATCCCAGCCTCTGCCGGTACTGTATCATTGCTCACCCCCTGAAAACTCGACTTGTCCTCAAGTCGAAAGTCAGGAAACTGCTGCTTCAAAAGGTCGTATTCCTCCCAACTTGCTTCTTCCGGAGGGCGATCAATCCATTTCACAAGGACTTCAAGTATAGCGGAATCACCGAATTTCTTCCACTGATGTGCAATGACCGCTTCGGGCTTCACATTAAACTCAAAGGAATCGTTGATAGGCAGTGAGGATGGAGTTTGAAAAATGGATTGACCTCTGGCTGGTTTGAGTAGAGAAACGTGGAACACTGGATGTAGTTTCGTCCCAGCTGGCAGATCGAGCTCATAAGCAACAGACCCAATGCGTTTCAGCACTTTATATGGCCCAAAAAACCTAGGCGACAGCTTTTGATTGATCCTCCGAGCTAAGGATTTCTGGCGGTAAGGCTGCAGTCGTAAGAAGACCAAATCGCCCACACAAAAAATGACTTCTCTCCTGTGAGAATCAGCAACCTTTTTCATCTGAACTTGGGCTTTCAACAAATTCTGCCGGAGAACCTGAATAACCTCATCCCTTGCTACTAACTGTGCTTCTAGGTCAGGCAATCGTGTTTCTCCACGAACAAAAGGCAGGATTGGTGGTGGGTCTCGCCCATAAACGATCTTGAAGGGAGACATACCTGCTGCTGTGTGAAAGCCTGTGTTAAAAGAAAATTCAGCCCAAGGCAGGAAATTGCTCCATTGACGAGGCTTCTCCATGGCGAAACAACGAAGGTAGGTTTCTAAGCAGCGGTTCACCACCTCGGTCTGTCCGTCCGATTGTGGATGGTAGGCCGAGCTCATCCTTAGCGTCGTCTGGCTCAAACGAAACAGCTCAGTCCAAAAAGAGCTCAGAAAGACCGGATCCCGATCCGAAACAACCGACCTCGGAATGCCATGTAACCGAACTATATCCTTGTAGAAAAGGTTGGCTACTGTTATTGCTGAATATGGGTGCGCCAGACCAATGAAATGAACATATTTGCTGAGGCGATCAACCACCACTAAAATCACATCGAAACCCCCTGATTTGGGCAACCCTGATATAAAATCAAGGGAGATGTCTTCCCATATTTGCACAGGCACGGGCAAAGGTTGCAGTAGACCTGCTGGAGCTAAAGTCTCATATTTAGCTTTTTGACAGACAGTGCAATCCTGAATATGACGACGAACATCAGCTTTCTGATTTGGCCAATAGAATTCCGAAGAGACCCGTTTCAAGGTTTTGACGAAACCACCATGTCCTGCAGCAGGGGAGTCGTGTGCTTCGACCATGATTTTGTGCCGTATGGCCTCTGCATCCGGTACCACCAATCGGTCTTTAAAGAACAGCTTCTCGCCGACTATGGAAAAGAGCGGGTAAGCGGAATGATCTGCCCGTTTTTCTGCCAATATTTTGCTGATGAAAGAATCCCTTTGCATGGCCTCGGTCCAATTTTTGAGTTCCTGGATGACAGGAATTGCTAACGCCAACAACTCAGCCTGTTGTGGTCGCCTTGATAGGGCATCGGCGCCGGTATTCTCCTTCCCTGGTCGGTATTCGATGGTGAAATCGAAGGGCAGTAACTTAAGCAATAATCTCTGCTGTGAGTTTGTAGTAACACGCTGACTGAGGAGGAATTGGAGGCTCCTGTGATCAGTTCGGACTACAAATCTCGACCCCATAAGGTAATGTTTCCACTTCTGTAAAGCCAAAACCAGTGCAAGTAGTTCTCTGTCGTAAGTAGACTTAAAGCGATTTGAGAAAGAGAAGCCCTTACTGAAATACGCCACAGGATGACCAGACTGTAATAGCATAGCGCCCACTCCATCCGTTGATGCATCGCATTCCACAGTGAAAGGTTCACTGAAATTGGGAAGTCTGAGGACGGGCACTGTAGTGAGGGCGGACTTCAGCTTCTGAAACGCCTGTTCAGCCGTGGGGTTCCACTGGAAAGCGTTTCTTTTTGTCAAGTCAGTCAAAGGACGAGCCAAGATGCCATATCCCTGCACAAAACGGCGGTAATAACCTGTTAACCCAAGAAAACCGCGCAACTCCTTGATCGTCTTTGGAACTGGCCAATTTGCCACGGCGGCAATCTTCTCTTGATCAACAGCGACGCCGGCTGCGGAAACAATGTGCCCTAAGAACCCGATTTCCTGCTGGCCAAAAAGGCACTTTGTCGGTTTAGCAAAAAACTGATGTTGTTGTAGAAGCTGTAGGATGGTTGTCAGATGCTGAACATGCTGCTCTTCTGATGTGCTGTACACAAGAATGTCATCAAAGAAAACGACGACAAACTTGCGTAGGAAGGGTCGGAAAAGATCGTTCATAATTGCCTGAAATGTTGAAGGGGCGTTTGTGAGCCCAAATGGCATAACCAAGAACTCGTAGTGGCCTGAATGCGTGCGGAAGGCAGTTTTGTGAACGTCCGATGGATGAACTCTGATTTGATGATACCCTGAACGGAGATCAATCTTGGAAAATATAACAGCCCCATGGAGTTCGTCCAAAAGCTCGTCGATGACGGGGATGAGGTATTTATTTGGCACCGTAATCTGATTGAGCTTACGGTAGTCTACACACATCCTCCAGGAGTCATCTTTCTTCTTTACAAGTAGTACAGGACTAGCGAAAGGACTGGTACTAGGTCTTACAAAACCGGTTTTCAGCAGCTCTGAAGTCTGTATTTCAATCTCCGTTTTTTGATGGTAGGGATATCGGTATGGGCGTAGGTTAGGTGGTTTGGCATTTGGGAGTAGGGGGATGGTGTGAGTTTGGTTTCTTGGCGGGGGTAGGGACGTTGGTGGTTGGAAGATGGTCTGGAAGTTCTGTAATACCTGCTGTACTGCATCCGGAATGTCAGATTTCGGCTCTATGCTGTCAGCTAAAGTCAGGGACATCGTGGCTAGGGAGGAGTTCTCTGGTTTGCCGTGTACCCCATGTATTTTGACCTTACGCCCTTGCTGATGAAATACTAGGAACAACTCCGTCCAGTTGGCCTTAACTGTGTCCAAAGAAGCCAGCCACTTGATACCTAGGACCAATTCAGCACTCCCCATTGCCAAGGGAAAAAAGTCTTGACGGATGATGATGCCGGGCATGTGTATGGCTACATCTGGACAGATTCGATTGCAAGTAATTACCTCGCCGTTACCGATGGTAACTCCGAAGGTTGGCACCTCTTCAGTTGGGAGACCTAATTCCACAGCCAAGGTGTTGGAGATGAAATTGTGGGTCGATCCACTGTCGACTAGTATGAGCACCGTCTTCCCTTTAATGGTTCCCTTTAATCGCATTGTGGCTGTAGCGTTTTGACCGGAGATTTGATGGAACGAAATTTCAACTTTTCCGTCGTCTCCCCCCTGAGCGGCCCATTCGTCGCTGGCCTCGTCCACACTCTGCTCATTGTCATCTGTAAACTCCAATTGAGAAAATGAGGTTTTGCACTGATGGCCAGGGGTGAACTTTTCTCCACAACGGAAACAAAGTCCCTTCTCCCTTCGTGTTTGTCTTTCAGCGTCAGAAAGCCGAGTGGTTGGGGCGGTGGTCAGATTTGGGTTCGTGGTTGGACGTGGAAAAGGTTGTGGAAGTTTGCTATAGTTGGGCCTGTAAGTGGGCTGGGTAGGTTTGGTATTTTGGACGGAGCCCAATTTGGACTCGAATTCAAGGGCTAGAGAGGCAGCCCTAAATACCGATCTTGGTGAATGAATTCTGACCTCAGCCTTCAATTCTTCTTTCAGTCCTGAGACGAAGGCTCCCAGAAGTGCGGATTCCGGCCAGTCCCTCACCCTAGCCGCACGCCTTGCGAACTCCATACGGTATTCAGTAACCGTACCAGTCTGTGTGATGGAGCATAGAGATTCATCGGGGATCTGGAAATCTGGAGGACCATAGTGTTCTTGAAATACATGGATCAAATCTTCCCACACTAGGATCTCCCTCTTGCCGTTGACCCAAGCGTAGAGATCCAGGGCGTCGCCTTCTAAGTACACCGTGGCGACTTCGACCTTCATGTCATCCGCTACATCGTAGTAGCGAAAGTATTTTTCCGCTCTGAGTATCCAGCCTCGGGGATCACCACCGTCAAACTTCGGGAAGTCGATGCGAGCCCGAGGACGTTGGCCAGTTTGATAACTCCAGCGACCCTCATCGTCGTCGTCGTAGTCGTCCCGAGAACGGTAAGGAGTGCGCTCAGGCCTGGGCGTATGAGGCGACCGAGCATGGTCCCGATGAATGCCCTCGTACTGATTGGCAGCTGACCTCACCCTCTGCCCTCTGTGATGTGAGCTCTCGGGGTTACCGTCGTGATTGTAATTGGATCCTTGGGGCTGAGAATTCGCCTCCAAGATGGCTACTTTGGCAACAACCGAATCCAAGACCTCCAGTTTAGAGGCAAGGGAAGCCAGCTGCTGCGCAATTTCAAGGATGGACGGGGGCTGGGTAGGAGGAGGTGGTGGGGGCGGAGGATTTGGATCTTGTGAATTGGCGGAATTGCGAGTTTGCACCATAATGGATCGAAAAGCTCTCTGATACCAAAATGATAGACCACTCAATGCCAGAATCTAGCAAGGAGGCATAATTTGCAGGAAGACAGTCCTACGACTCTTTCTTTGATTAATGATGAATTCCCGATCCTTACAACTGAGAACAAGACCTTCTATTAAATAGTAAATACTAGCCTAGGAAACCCACTACTCCACTACTCCACTACCCACTACTCCACTATGTTAGTTGGAGAAGTGCCAGGAACTAACTACTAGAATTCAGCAAAGACTTCTTGACTCAATCCTAGGACGAATAAAAGAAAATACAATAATTAAAATGCTGACTCAATAAAACTAACTGAAAATCAATCTCTCTTCCTCCTGACATACGTAACCCAAGGCTTACTCATCCCAGCCTCTGCCGGTACTGTATCATTTTCTCTGTAAATTCTCCATTTTCCTTTGCGACCTTTGTAACATTATTGTTTTTGCGATTCAGCTTTTGGTGCTTCATTTTCTGGTGTGCTGACTGATGAGCTTGGACGAGTTCGAGCTCTATGGGGAAGCTTCTCTAAACCGAAAAATAAAAATGTCTGCACTTCAATTTTCTTCTCATGAACTGAACTTTTGTACAGACAATATTTAACAATTGTGTCTGCATTTTTAGCTCAACGATAGTAGTTCATCAGATGATTCTGAATTCACACGTGGAATTCCAGCTTGTGCAATAAGTAAAGTCCTTGCAAAAATCATCTCGACTGCTGCTGGACCCCCACGCCTTCTTCATGGTTTCAAACAGCATATGCCACTTGTGAGAATATTAGAAGCTAAACTCCATCCCACTTTACTTTCCAAAGCTCGCAATTTCGGACTAAGTGACAGGTGGATCCAGGTAAGCTACTTTTGATGACATTTTTTTGTTAGGACCTCAACAACGCAGCAGAAATTTAGAATTATATTGATGAAAATCTCAGAAGACAGTAAGCTATTACAATGGTAGAAACCAGAGATCAACATAAAATGAAAATAGAAGGTTTGAGACACTTTTTGGTGTAGCCACCAATTTGGAGTAGTCTCCCCACCAATTCCAGATCCAAGTTCTGCCTAACTTCATTCTTTCCCTCCTTCCCACTCTTATAGTACTTATATTCTAACGGGTCAACCCATATTTTATGACATGACCCAGAATTCTTATTTATACAATACCATACTTTTTTAATATCAATCTATAACTACTACGTATTATTATTATTATTATTATTATTATTATTATTATTCTCTACAGACCAGGGCCGTATTATTTTATGACATGGTCCAGAATTCTTATTTATACAATACCATACTTATTTAATATCAATCTATAACACTGTCTTCTTGCTTGAATATTCTGTGTGTAGCTATATGCTTAGACAAAGGGAGTGGGGATGGGTAAGATTGGGTTAGGTTTCCAGGGTGAGGGCAATATTATCGAATTAAACATATTAAAGTTGATGAATAGTATGTCCATTATGGAGACGAGACAGCTTAGCTTCGAAAAGTAATGGCTACACAAAAAAGACTATGCTAATAGATCCGTTTTGGTTTTAATCTCCTGCTAAGACTGCTTGATTGTCCAATTCTTTGACATTTGCGAGTTGCATTATTTTTTAAGATTAATGTGTTTAGGCAGCACTAAAAATAGTGGTTTTCCGTAAAAACATGGTAGCACTTGATATAAGTGGACATACCCTTAAAATAAAGTAATAATTAATACTCCATAGTGCAATCTCATCATGAATAATCATGTAATTGATTGTATTAAAAATAGGATAGCTCACCCCATCACACCGCTGCAATGACCGCTGTCGACCGTTACTCGCGTGCAATGATTGTTGCCTCCTGCCACCCACTATGATTTCCACTTGCTGCTACAGTGAATGTTATTGCCAACATTGACTACAACAAAACAATGAGTAACACCAACTCCATGACAGATAATGACTTGATAACTGACCAAGAATGACTCAAAATTGATTGTCCCTTGGCATTGACTCTGCCAATAAACCCCAACAATGAGTAATCCCATAGGCACAAACATGGCATCGTTTCGATAGTTGAAGATCTGCAACACTGATGTGTTTGCATGACAATGGCTGATGTTGGGGTTTTGGGGGTGGGGGGTGGATGGATGATAAAAAATGGCAGCCCCGGTGCATATTGGTGTCTCCTCATGGCAAGACTCCAGGGAAGGGTCTCACCACAAGGGTGACAAGGTGTATAGGGGGCAAGCATTCCCTTGTCATTTTGACAAGAAGTCGCTCTCAAAACCTGAACCCGTGATCTCTCAGCCACACTGTAATTGGTGCGCCAAGGCTCTCCTTCATGGATGAGTGATGATTCAGAAATAACTGATGTGGTTATTTAGTGTTACAATATTGATTATGAACACTGTTTAGAACTCTTCTTTAGGACTTGAGACATTTTGCAATTGTTAGGCGAGGTACAAGCCTAAATCCTCATACAGAGCTCCCTTTACAAATCAAAATCACTAACATCTAAAACACATGTACTAGTTATACATAGAAACCGAGTCAGTTCCTAACTGTCATAAACCGCTTTCATAATATAACTCTTTAAATAAAGTTCTAAAGATTCTTTTCTTCTAATTAACATCAGAAAAAGTTTTTTGACTTTTTTCATATGCGAAAAACGGAAAAGAAATGGTTGTAATATTGTATTGTTTCAATCAAAGTGAAAAAATAGTTGAATCTGTTTGTATCTTATTACAAAGAAGAGAAGAGGAGAATAGTGGCAGGAGCTCTGCTGCTCTGCAATAAATGTGCGAACTCTGCAGGATCGCGAAGTGCAGATTAGTCTATAAGTTATGTGAAACAAGTGAATATTATAAGTAGAACAGTGAAGATAATGGTTGGTTTTGGCAAATTGACTTTAGTGCTTTTGATGTGCCAATGACTAATTTTGTAAGATGCACTTTCCTTTTTGGGTTCTCCCAATAATATGAACACTTTCCTAAATTGAACTCCACTAACTTTTCACTTTCCCACTTTATCCTTTATTTGTCATTTCACTCTTTACTTTTTGTGGATCCATCTTACTTTTTCTTACTTTTTGGAGATTAGAATTGTAAAACAACCACTTTATCTTTTATTTTCTTAAAACATGTGCGAAACACACATGTATCTTACATTATGGGACAGAGGTAGTAAAAAATAATAGACCCGATATGACATATTTCAAGTAATGAGCCATGCAAAACATAAAAAACTGTGAGGATTAAACCTCGCAATACATCTAGGGGCTTAAGCTTCACAAACCCCTCCTCTATTGGTGATGCTTATGCCTCAGATCATTCACATGAGGCTTAGCCTTAAGACTTTTTTCACCTCCTCACATTAAAGCACCCCTTAAAAATTCCTTTTTAAACCATGAATACAAAACACTTCCTCCTTTCTATTTTAGTTGCAACATTCCCATTTTCACGCTTGCCAACACACAACTTTGATCGTCATTATGTTTAATGTTCTATTAGTAAAAAATATTTAAAAATCAGATTATGAAAATTCGTAATGAGACAAATTCAACAATATTTCTCAACAAGAAATTATTTCTCAACAAAAAATTATTTCTCATACATAAATAAATAAAATAGTCAAAGTAGAGTATGTGAAGAGAAAATTTTCCATTTTGCAACTAAAAAGAAATGGAGGATAGTATTAAGTACTACCCCCAACCCGTTTCAAGGTTTCCATTCGAAAATGGCACATTTCTAGGAAATAATTAAATAAGGTAATTTGAATATAGTTTGAGAATTAGTTTGGGTGGGTATATAATGTAATAGGGTAATTGATGATAATGGTGTTGTTATGGCCTTATGGGTGTATCAATAATAATATGTGATGATAAAGTTTTCATTTAATAGAGATAATTATTTCCTAAAATGGAAACGGATACCTTGATATGAGATTTCTAAAAGAGACAAGTGAGAATCTTGAAACAGGACGGTGGGAGTATTAACTTGGGAATAAAACATACTACCTCCATCCCACTAACATTGGGATAGGAGGAGGAGGGTGGGCTATTAATAAAAGTGGATTTATGCGGTTGATATTGAATTGATAAAGTAAGAAGAAAGTAAAAATGATTTAGCACCACACAAACTTTACAAATTTGGTATGAGACAATCTTGATGGGACGGACCAAAAAGGAAAGATGGAACAATCTTAGCGGGATAGAGGGAGTATGTTGTGCTAAATAAGAATAATGTTCATGTTTTAGTGTTGATTGGAGCAATTATTTTTGAATGTGTAGATTATTACAGATTGTTCTAATCACTCACCCGATTGTGCATTTATGAGGAGATATCTTAGAGATCTCAGAATCTCTAAATATCCCCAATTATCTTTTCTTTATTAGGGATCCTTAATTAGGAGGATTCCTTCCTTATTTCATTGTTTCTCTAGCTATATATATCCTGTTAGGATTGTAAACGAATCGAATAATTTTGATCCGATTCGCGATTCGAATTCGAAATTGATGATTCGAATTCGAAATATTCGAATACGAATCCGAATACGAATCAATTTTATTATTCGAATAAAATTCGAATACGAATACGAATATACATATATTCGATTCGTAAGTTATTCGAATATATTCGATTTGTATATTTACGAATTATAAATATATATTCTATTATATTTATAATTTATATAATTGTTTAAAATAAAATATAAAATAGGTAATACGTATTCTAGGTTTAAGTAATTGAATTAACTTTGTTTACTTTATTTGTGTGTGTTTCTTTAGCAATTGAGTTTTGAAGTAATTGAATTTTTGAAATAATTCATTTAATAGACATTTGTGAAAATCGAAAAATGCATAAAATGAGTCATAATTTGAATAGGTGAATTTTTTTGACACTTCAAATATTTGAATTCGAATTCGAATTCGAATATTCGAATATGAATATACTCAAATACAATAAACGAATCGAATATGAATCTATTGTAAGATTCGAATAATATTCGAATACGAATACGAATATTCGTCAATTTATACGAATACGAATAATATTACTCACTATTCGGTTCGATTCGATTCGTTTACAACCCTATATCCTGTATTCTTCTCCTTGTAACATACAGAACATAATAAACAGAATATAGTTTACTTTCTTGAGTTATTTCTACATGATATCGGAGCGTGGTTATTCTCTAAAATGATCAAGTTCGGATCCTATGGGATGACCACCGAGAGAGATTGATCTATCTCAGTCACCTCTGAACATTCAGAGGGTGTCTTTAGTGGAGATGGAAGCAACCAGAGTATCAATGGAAGCACAGTCACCACTCCTAATCAATCAGATTCGATTATTACTTGCCATAAACTCAATGGTAGTAATTATCTACAATGGCTCAGTCAGTTATGATGTATGTGTGTGGAAAAGACAAGGAGGACTATTTGACAGGTGATGCACCTGCTTCGGATCAAGGAGATCCAGGCTACAGGAAGTGAAAAAAGGAGAACTATATTGTGATGTCATGGCTCATCAATTCCATGACAACCAGTATAGGGGAAAACTTCCTATTATACAAAACAGTTCAAGAGATTTGGGAGGCTGTGAAAGAAACATACTCAACTTCAGATAACACTTCTGAATTATTTGAGGTTGAATCAATGTTACATAACCTTCAGCAGGGAGAATTGAGTGTAACTCAAGACTTCAACAACCTTGTGAGACTCTGGCAGCATCTTGATGTGTTTGAGACATACAGTTGGTCATGTTCTAAGGATAAGAAGCTATATCAGGAGATCTGTGAAAGGAAGAGAGTCTTCAAATTCCTGTCAGGTTTGGACAAGAGTCTAGACTCTAGATGAGGTTAGGGGCAGGATAATGGGAAAGAAACTCACCCTTGAGAAGCCTTCTCAGAAGTCAGAAGAGAAGAAAGTAGAAGGAAGGTAATGATGGGTCTAAAATCTCAAGGTCAGCAACAAAACATTGAAGGATCAGCCCTATATATCTCTTCCAGACAGAATGAAAACAAGAAAAAGGGGAGGCCATGGTGTGATCACTGTAAGAAACCGGGCCATACCAAAGAAACATGCTGGAATTTGCATGGTAAACCTAAAGATTTCAAACCCAGCAAAGGGAGAGGAGCCTATGTAGCTACTGGAGATAAAGAAGACATGGGCACTTCAAACTTTGCTGCATTTACCAATGAGCAGATTGAGGTTCTTCAACACCTAATAAGTCAGAGCAAAGGGCCTACACCATCAACTAGCCTTACTGCTCAGACAGGTAATGTCTCAACAACCCCAGTTGCACACAGTCAGCCCTATTGGTTTGTTGATTCAGGGGCATCAGATCATATGACTGGAGACATTAAGTTTTTTGTTGAATTGATCCCTATGAAGAATAAGGTAATTGTGAAGATTGCTGATGGAAATACTTCAGCAATAAAAGGGACTGGAAGAGTCAAAATTTCTGACAAGATAGTGCTTAACAATGTGTTATATGTTCCAGATTTAAAGTTCAACCTCTTATCAGTCAGTAAACTTAACAATGATACACATTGCTTAACTAAATTCTCTTCTCAATTGTGTGAATTTCAGGATTTGGATTCGGGGAGGATGATTGGCAGTGCTAAGCAAAGTGGTGGACTCTATCTTTTGGAACATTCACCACATTCACCAAACTCCACCAACAAGACAACTTCCAGTGAGAGTCAATTCAACCATAAGTTCTTAGGGAGTCTTAGTAGGAGTCAGTTTGATACTCAAATTCATTTATGCCATTATCGTCTTGGTCATCCTAATGTCTTGTACTTAGAAAAAATATTTCCTTCATTATTCATAAATAAAAGTTCTGCCTTTGATTGTGAATTTTGTCAACTTGCTAAACATACTAGAAGTCACTATCCCAGTCTACCTTACAAACCATCTAAACCTTTTTCTCTCATCCACAGTGATGTTTGGGGCCCATCCAAGGTCAAAAACCTCACTGGTTCAAGGTGGTTTGTTCTGTTTATTGATGATCATACACGCCTAACCTGGGTTTTCCTCATGAAAGAGAAGTCATAAGTCAATATTATCTTTCAAAGATTCTATTCTATGATCAAAACTCAGTTTCAAATCAAGATTCAAGTTTTTAAAACTGATAATGCCAAAGAATATTTCTCATCCAACTTAGGAAAGTTTCTGTCCAAAAAGGGGATTATACACATTAGCTCCTGTGTTCACCACTCACACTCCTAAACACTTGATGATATCTATCACCCAGCTTGAGGGGGAGTGTAGATTATTACAGATTGTTCTAATCACTCACCTGATTGTGCATTTATGAGGAGATATCTTAGAGATCTCAGAATCTCTAAATATCCCCAATTATCTTTTCTTTATTAGGGAACCTTAATTAGCAGGATTCCTTCCTTATTTCATTGTTTCTCTAACTATATATATCCTGTATTTTTCTCATTGTAACATACATAACATAATAAACAGAATACAGTTTACTTTCTTGAGTTATTTCAAGATGTTCTTTTCAGGCCCTTGTGAAGAAGGACCGTGTAAGACGCCAGGTTTTGAGAGTGGAATGTTGCTTTGCTGGCTCAAGAGCTCACGGGGTATTAGAGCAAGGTGACATGATTTTAGCAATTAACAAGGAGGCAGTTACATGCTTCCGTGATATTGAAGAGGCTTGCCAAGTGCTAGACCAGTGTACTAACAGTGATGGAATGCTTCACATGACAATTTTCCGCCAGGTTCTGATGCCTCCTGTTACATTCTTCAATATGTTTATTCTTGTTCCTTATAACAAACATCAGAATAACACTCTTTGCCGCACCATGCGGACATACATGTGGAATGCATTTTTGGCCCCATAAATAATCAGGGTTGCCAAAACTTGTTTTGCGGTTTTTCTTGCAATTTAGACATATTTCTGTCAGATTAATTTTGGAATTTGTGATGGCTACAGCGATACTGTATTTCTAAATGAATTTGTTTTATTGTTGTCATCATGTATAATGTATTGTGCTAGGGCTGTGAAATTGAACTGCTTGTGGGAACTGATGTGAGGGATGGGAGTGGAACTACTCGTGCAATCAGTTGGTGTGGATGTACTATCCAAGAACCTCACCTTGCTGTCCGTGCACATGGATTTCTTCCTCGACAGAGTGGAGTTTATGTGGCAAGGTTAGGACTTGCAACTTTTTGTGTTACTAGGTAAAGTTTATGTGCATGTCGATTTTACCATATCAATTTTGCAAGTGCACGTGCAAATATAAAATTATATGCAAGTACTCTCTCAAGTCATCTGTTTTTCATGATATATTATTTGATTATTTCATACAAGCGGAATATGAAGTGTACTAGTGTAGGAAGATGAAAGTTTGGGATATCATCATCTTATCATTTCTTCTTGGAAAGTTAGCATAAAGGGCGCCTCACATAAAATATTGCTTATGCTTTTTAATTTTTTTTCCATCATTTGCAATGGAGTCAAAGACTCACCATTTTTTGGCTTGAGAGTGATGAAATAAAGCAAAATAACTCACTAAACTGTCTGCGCTTCTTTGTTATGAAGCAGCAGTCAGTCCATGCAATTTTGTTCGCGTTTTTCACTATGGGTCATCTAGAAACAGTCTCTCTGTGCTTTAGTACAGGGATAAGACTGCGTACATCCGACGCTCCCTTACCCCACCGCAGGTGGGAGCCTTTGCGGCATTGGGGTAATGATGATGATGAAAATTAAAATAAGTAATGAAATTTGCAGGGTAAGCAAGGGGAGCCCAGCATCTAGGTACGGTCTTTCTGCTCGCCAATGGATCGTTAACATTAATGGGAAACAAACTCCTGATTTGGATGCTTTTATCCGCATCACCAAGGTATACTATACGTACAAGCCCTGTCCCCTCATTACATCTCCCTAATTTTCCCTTTCCTTAATCCAAACATAAATTTTGTTAGTTTACTATTAATCAGCTTTGTTTATTTTTACTTGTCCCACTCAGTTCTTTTAGTGAATAGCGTAAACAAGAGGGAAAGTAGGAGATGAGATGGAAAACTAGCAAAAGAATGAAAGTGAATATGAAAAAGTTGGGCATCTATGTCTTTCAGAGTTTCAATACACTTGTAATTACCAAAAGAGAAGATATTAAAAAAACTTGGATAAAAAGAGAAGAGAGCAATTAGAAATAAATGGCTGGATTATTATTATGAAGTATACAACGGAGGATTTAAATTGGTTTGGCAGGAACTGGAGCATGGAAAATTCGTTTGTTTAAGAGCAGTGAATTTAAATGGGAAGCGTGGAGCGGTAACCTTAAAACAAGATTTGCACTACTGGCCAACGTGGGAAATAAGGTTTGATTCTTGTGAAACCTTAACCTGGCGACGCAAGATCATCAATGCTTTAGATGGCGGTGCTATGTAATTAACAAAAGGTTAATCAGGCTGTGTTTATAAGAACACTTGTAGAAAGAAGACCAAAGCAAGTGCATTCAGTGTAATATTAATGTGTGATGCCTGGCATTATTACAATGTAATTGCTTCTCACTTAATGGTTTATTCGCTCGAAGTCTTTTATAAATACAACAACATCCAAGCCTTAATCCCAAAAGAATTTGGGGTCACCTAACATGAATCGATCTATGATATAGATGCCAAACCGAGAAGACGGACAAGAAAGAGAAGAAAAAAAGTAAGATAAAACGAATAAAATAAAGATAAATCAATATAAAATAACAATAACACAAGAATATAAGAAAGATACAACAACAACACCAAGCGTTAATCCCAAAAGAATTTGGGGTCAGCTAACATGAATCGATCTATGCTATCGATGCCCAAAAGAGAAGACGGACAAGAAAAGGAAAAAAAAGTAAGATAAAATGAATAAAATAAAGATAAATAAATATGAGATAACAATAACACAAGAATATAACAAAGATAAAAGATAAAAAATAAAAGATCATAAAAAAAGCTAGAAGATAAAAATAACATAAGAATATAAAAAGATAAGGAAGATAAACGATAAAAAAAGAGAGGAAAGGTAGACAAGACATCAATCGTCCACACGGATGTGCGCCCTCCACTTTGCTCTCTCCAAAGGCATACTCTCATCAAACACAAGAAGACGCATATCAGTTATGATTCCTTTAATCCAAGTCTGTTTGGGTCTTCCCCTCCCTCTCTTCTTTGACTCTTCTCCCCACCCCTCAAGTCGTCTAACAGGTGCATCACTGGGTCTTCTACGCACATGCCCAAACCACCGCAAACGAGACTCCTGCATCTTATCTTCTATAGGTGCTACTCCCACCTTTTGTCTGATTACCTCGTTCCTCAAGCGGTCTTTTCTGGTATGTCCACACATCCAACGCAACATACACATCTCTGTCACACTCATCTTTTGAATGTGGCATTGCTTCACCGTCCAACACTCTACGTCATACAGTAATGCCGGCCTAATTGCTGTACGATAAAATTTACCTTTCAGTCTAGTTGACATAACTCGATCACATAGAAATCCTGAAGCACTCTTCCATTTCATCCACCTAGCTCTGATTCTATGGCATACATCTCCATCTAACTTACCATCCTTCTGAATTATGGATCCCAAGTAACAGAACATATCACACACCGGTATCTCCTTACCATCAAGAGTAATCCCACTGTTGCTACTACTTCTACCTCCACCGAACTTGCACTCCATATACTCAGTCTTGCTTTGGCCCAGTCTGAAACCCTTGCTTTCCAATGTTTGTTGTCATACTTCCAACTTTGCTTTAACACCGGATTATGACTCATCAATCAATACAGTATCGTCAGCAAACATCATGCATCATGGTATATCTTCTTGAATTAACTTTGTAAGTTCATCCATAACTATAGCAAATAAGAAAGGACTCAGAGCAAATCCTTGGTGCACTTCGATAGTAATAGGGAACTCTGCGGTCCTCCCTACATTAGTGCGGACACTTGTAGTACAAACATCATACATATGCATGATGATGCTGATATACTTACGTGATATAAGAAAGATAAAAGATAAAAAATAAAAGAGCATAAAAAAGCTAGAAGATAAAACTAACATAAGATATAAAAAGATAAAGAAGATAAATGATAAAAGAAAAAAGAGAGAAAAGGTAGAAAAGACATCAATTGTCCACACGGATGTGCGTCCTCCACTTTGCTCTCTCCAAATCCATACTCTCATCCAACCCAAGAAGACACATATCAGTTCTAATTCCTCTAATCCAAGTCTGTTTGGGTCTTCCCCTCCTTCTCTTCTCTGCTTCTTCTCCCCACCCCTCAAGTCATCTGACTGGTGCATCACTCGGTCTTCTACGCACATGCCCAAACCACCGCAAATGAGACTCCTGCATCTTATCTTCTATTGATGCTACTCCCACCTTTTGTCTGATTATCTCATTCCTAAAGCAGTCTTTTCTGGTATGTCTACACATCCAATGCAACATACGCATCTCTGTCACACTCATCTTTTGAATGTGGCATTGCTTCACCGCCCAACACTCTATGTCATACATTAATGCAGGTCTAATTGTTGCTCGATAAAATTTACCTTTCAGTCTAGTCGACATACCTCGATCGAATAGAAATCCTGAAGCACTCTTCCATTTCATCTACCCAGCTCTGATTTTATGGCATACATCTCCATCTAATTCACCGTTCTTCTGAATTATGGAGCCCAAGTAACGGAACATATCACACACCGGTATCTCCTTAGCATCAAGAGTAATCACACTGTTGCTAGTACTTCAACCTCCACCAAACTTACACTCCATATACTCAGTCTTGCTTCGGCTCAGTCTGAACCCTTTGGACTCCATATACGAAGTCTGTTATAAATATGCACAATTTTTTAATACAACAGAAAACACACACATTAATACCAACAATGTATAATTAGTTTTATACAAAAATATGGAGTACTATTCCATATTAAAGAGGGAAGAATTTTTTGTATGTTTCATTGGAAGGTTAAGTCCATATAAATATAAATATAGATTACAAAGACAGATTATTCCTATAAAGATGTTATACAATAATAATATTTATAGTATATTCCTACATCAAAGTTATAACCCTCCCGGCTCCCACGGCATATAAACTACTACTCTATAATAAAGTTTTACCGAAAATATTCTAAAGCATATTCTTATACTGTGACCTAAAAAATATGGAGTACTATTACACATTGTACCCTCTGCTTTCTCACCTCTGAGTTTGTGATCTCCCAATTTAGCCATTTAGGGTATGTTTGAAAGGAAGTTGGATGAGGTAGTATTACGTAGGTATTTGAAGCAAGATAATGTGAAGCAGGTGACAAAACTTTTAAAAAGAGAGTTGGCAAATATTGAGGCAAGTCAAAGTTTTAGGTATTTTCCTCCATTTCTCACTTGCCTAGCATGCCCTTAATTCTGGAGGTAATTAGTTGTGGAGTATTAGAAGATAAATGATGCCTCCATCATCTTCTACAGTTCTACCTGCATTCCTTCCATATGCACACTATTAGTGTGCCCAAGAATTTTATGTTGGATTAATGCTCTAAAAATAAAAAAATAAAAAAAACAAACCGGAAATCCCTTACTTGCCACTTGCCATTTCCTCTAAAATCTACAATGGCGTATTGTATCAATTTGCACCTAAGATGCTCTATTGTGTTGTATGTGTTTCATCAAACATTGCATCATTTGCATGCAATGTAAATCATATTATGGTAAGTAATTAATTTTCATTGAAGGAAAATTTTTAATTCCTCAATTACACTTGGCCAAAAATAAATATATAAATTAATACTAGAGTTGTGATTGGTTCTCATTTCTCTCGCTAGATAGTGTTCACATTTAACGGGGTATGCATAATGTGTGTCTTATAACGGGTTGAGATAAAGTATGACACCTCATTCCTGAGGACCCCCAACCCCGTTTGAACGGTACATTGGAAGGATGTAAATTAGATTACGATCCTAATCTGACAGATAGAGAGTGACGTTTTGTCCCGGTACTTGCAGAACCCGACATGTTTACCATTCTCCATCACCTATGTCATAATTTTAGCGAGTGCCCATACATGATACATGTGGCTCTGCCATGTTACCAATACCTTAGCTTCTAATTTAACGACACATCAGACTATCAGAGCATACATTCTTAATAATAATAATAATAATAATAATAATAATAATAATAATAATAATAATAATAATAATAGTAATAATAATAATAATAATTATAATAATCTAGATGGAGGAGGGAGAATGGGAGATGACATGCACTGAATAATAATTGCACACGTGGCGGTCAGCTAGTGAGCGTGGACGCGTGTTGTGTTAAAATGGTCTTATGACTGACACGTAGCGCGGCAGCAAAAAGCAGTTATGCATCGTCACCTCCAATCCCCATACTCTCTATACTTTCTTTCTTTTGAATATAAAACTCTGAAGACCATTTGGACATAACTAGCTACCTATATAAAGACGTACTGCTGAGTTAGTTTCTTCATAACCTATAAATTAAAGCGTTCCACCTTACGGAGATTCATTCATAAGAATATATACAGATTACAGAGTAAATACAGAGCGAGTACTCGGTAGATTTCAGTGAAATAAAATAATCAAGGAAGATATATAGCTTAGCTAGCTAACCGATTACCGATATATATACAATGGGCATCCCGATATGCGTGCAGTGCGGTACCGGCAGCAACCCGTGCAGGTGCAAGGTGGTAGGGCCGACGGTGGGGTTCTTGGCGTCTGCAGCGGCGGCGCTGGTGGAGTGGCCGGTCGGGGCCTTGGTGTACCCCTTCCGCCGCAGGAAGGGCCGCCGTATCATGGCTCACCCCGCCACCGTCGTCTATCCCACCGTCTCCAAGTCCATCCCCATTTGATGATCGATTCCGCTCATCGATCTTCATCCATCATATATAATTAATTAAGAATGTTCATGTCAGATTGGCAGAGTTTTAATTTGTTGATCAAATTTTATTCTGATCTTTTGATTCTAGCTTGATTAGCAAATTATATGCTTCACTTTTTGTTGGTTTATTAATAAACTTACTCTCTTCTTCAACTTCATCAGTTGGAATGCATGTTTCAATTATTATGTGTTTAATTTGGTGTTCTACTGTTATACTACGTACTAATTAATATAAATTTCACTACTCTCAGCTCCACTTGTGTGTGTATCTGTACATAATGCTAAATTTCATATGCTAATTAATGTCAAATCATCACTAAAGTGCAGTATGTGGATTACTATAATTTTAACGTCCATATAATTTTAATATAAAAGTGCAAAACTAAGACCTTCATCTTCCGTAGGAGAAAAAACTTGTGCTGACCGAATTACCCTTGATAAAATATTCTCGTACATAGTAAAGTTCAACACTAAGGCTCAGATGAAGTCTACATGCTACTGCACCACATCTCGTGTCGGATGCCGCCGCAAAATCAACTGTCGTCGCCACCTTAGTCTCCGTCGCCAGATCCACCGACGCAAAATCAACTGTCGTCACCACATGTTCAGATCAAAATGCCATTTATTTTCGTAAAAGA